TGAGACGTCTTCGAATTCGTGCACGCTCAGATATGCAGATGCAGAGAAGCCGTGAGACTTACAGCTGACAACTGACAGCCAAGAAAATGATACCATTCCCTTGAGCCCATACGAAGTTCGACCGCAAAATCTGCCATCGAGGGAAAAGATAATTGGCACAATTCAAAGTGGTAGTCCCCTTGTAAACCTTATACGTTGGGAATTCGCTACTGAAGACCCGCAGCAGGTCCGTATGTCGCGTGCAGTGGCTTCTGAAGTACGAATGACCGCAGCGGCATAGATGCGAGTGAATTGGCCGCATTTTGGTTTATCGGGTCCGTCGAACAATAGTATCCATCTGACTCCTCTTCCATGCGGTCATTTTGTTCTGACTCACGTCTCGGCATGTTCTGCGATTGCGCCTGGGTCTGAACTAAGTTCTTGAGTGGCGTCGATGGCTGGCATGGGTGGCGTGATTTCTGGGGTCTAATTTTTGCAAATATTGCCGTATCTCTTCATCAAGCGTCTCAGCGTATAGATGTACATTGTGGCGCTGAACTCACCGTTCAGTGCGGATCGATACCTAAATTGTCGTACGAGTGGAAGTACTGTAATACGCGATGTTGACAACGGTCGACAGGTTGTTCCGCCCGAAACTGAATGATCGCCAGAGGCTGGTGATCGACCCTGTTCTAAGACACCCAGCCGCGCAGTTCGTGTCGTCAAACGAGATTTCTGACCTCCTAACTAGTTAATTCCTAACATCGTCCGAGTGACAGTTCCATGTCGTTGTCGCCGATCGTAAAAACAAATCAGATGGGCGGAGAAAGTTGGCCATTCGTGAAGAGCCTATCGCGTTCCTCCGATAAGCTGCGAGATTATGGTGGAGCTCAACACACCTACGACTTGGGCTACTCTTGTACTCACAGTAGTTGCGACTCGCCTTGTCCGGTGATTCATTATTGATTCATCTCATCAGTATGTCCGGCGACATGCGAATGATGGCCAAACGTTTCAAGATCAGCAGGTTCAGGCTTGTAAGAATAGGTTAAACTACAGAAGCTTGGTGATTCTCTCTGCCTTGAACCTTGAAGGCGTTATTCAGTGTGGATGTTCCAATGACTGAGCGAGCTAAGAATGATACATTGGCTAGAGGAAAGCCTCTCGCACGCCGTACGGGCACAGTGCGCTGGGCGCTCAAATCACTGCGGAGAACCGGAGCTCGAGTCAGGACCGAGTCAAGATGCACGCGCACTTCTCGGCTGACAAACAATGCAGGAGGACTCAATACGTAATCTTTCCCAATTGACTCGAGACGACCCCTGGCAATGTATTCTCGCGAGCGGTGAGCAATTAAAAACATAGCTGCAGAAGCAGGGAGGTGGCCCGTAACTAGACTACGGTGGCTGCGGTCTGCGCAGGAAAATGTTTTATGAACGACGTGGTCGAGGAAGATGTGACTCTGAGTCCGAGTCGTCGGAGGCGTGAACGTGATAAAAGGCGGTTCGATCAGATTGCCGGGCGCTCGTGAGCGGTCAGCCTTGCCGAGCGTTCCACGCGTCCACAGACTCTCCGGCTTAAGTTATTCGTGCTGCTCAATTTCCTCCCTGCGTCCCGCTGTCTGGCATAATCAGTCTTTCGACATAGCGTCTATTCCACCGTACTCGCCCCGACCTACCCAATCATTCTATGTCATCTGCTGAAGACGAGCCCAATGATAGCGAGAATTTCTCCTCCAAGAAGAGGAGGGTACAACGGGCATGCGATGTGTGTAGGAGGAAGAAGAGTACGTCCCATTCTCTCGTGATTCTATATTCATGCGGCGCTGATGGAATAGGATAGTCCGGTGTAAGATCTTCTATAACTCAGTGACGTCGTACTGTCCAGCTTACTAGATACCTATCCGAAGGCGATGGAGGGCAAATGCCTGACAACAAGTGTTCTAACTGCATAACATATAACTACGAATGCACTTACCTTGAAGCCGCTAAGGTACGGCTTCTTATCTTCTATTTTTTCCCCCGGAATTTCTGACTCGCGCGACGACTAGAAACGGGGTCCACCGAAAGGGTACGGATATCTTCTTGTGCGGCTGCACTTATCCTCTCAAACATATGCATATATAGATATGTAGAGAGCCTCGAGACACGCTTGGAGAAGATGGAAAAGCTATTGAATAAGGTGCCGTCTTTGCTTCACCTCTCATCTTCCCACGGCATTTACCGCCCCCCTTGTAGCTGTGTCCCGACGCCGATTTCTCTAAAGAGCTTGGTCCTCAACTCGATAAAGATGCATGGTTGGAGCGCACTGCACCCGACAAGTCCAGGCCTATTGCATATCGAACTCCTGTGGCACCCCAAGCAGTTGCCTCACCGTCGAATGCTCCCCCCGTTATCCAACCGACAGACCCCGACGATCTTGAGCCGAGCGATGACGAGGTCATGGCTCACCACTCTCTAGTAAACAGCTTAAAGCAGATTAAACTCAATCCGACGCAACTTCGTTTCTTTGGGAAGTCGAGCAGTATCATGTTTATTCAAACTGCGATGGATCTTAAGCGGCAATATGCCGGTGTTGGAGACGAGGCGCGGCAGACAGTCACATCCCATCCGACCCTCTTACACGGCGAACATCGCCGTCCGAATACATGGAGTCTGCACCCGGTGCGTCCGCACATAACTTCGTATGTTGTCCCCTCACAAGATTACTCACACGATACTTTGGGTACTCACTTCAAGTGGTTGTCGGCACAACTCCAAGAAGAGGCTCAACCGCACGAGGCGCAGCATTACCCAGAGAGTGATCTCATGTTAAGCCTTATAGAGCTTTACTTTCGGGAAGTAAACGCCTATTCGCCACTACTCCACCGCCCGACGTTCGAGAACAACATCAAAGATGGCTTGCACCTCCGCGACGAGGGATTTGGATCAACAGTGTTGCTGGTATGCGCAATCGGGGCGCGCTTCTCTGATGATCCAAGGGTATTCCTGAGCGATTATCAAGACAACCCTTTGTCGTGTGGTTGGGAATGGTTCAAGCAGGTACAGATGATACGAAAGTCGCTTTTAGCGCCTCCACGATTGTATGATCTGCAAGTGTATTGCGTCGGTCCATTTCTCGAACCGCCTATTAAATATGCAAACTTACTGACCTGTTGCAGCTCACGGCTATGTTCCTGCATGGATCCTCTGCACCTCAGGCATGCTGGACAATTATTGGCGTCGGTATACGCTTGGCACAGGATGTAGGTGCCCATCGCAAAAAGGTCTACAACTCACAGCCAACAGTAGAAGAAGAGCTTTGGAAGCGGGCCTTCTGGTATGACTAGTCTCTCCCCTGTCGTACATTGGCTCTCATATGTCATATAGGGTACTTGTTTCTCTCGACAGGTCCATAAGCTCTGGCCTTGGGCGGCCGTGTGCGATCCAAGACGAAGAGTAAGCTGACTTAGCGTCAGCGGATTTATCGGAAATGGCTGATGACATTTGCCGTGTTCGCCGTAGCTTCGATCTCGATCTCCCAACGGAGTGCGATGACGAATATTGGCTGCATCCTGATCCAAATCTCGCCTTCAAGCAGCCCCCGGGCAAGCCGTCTACCGTAACGTTCTTCAACTGCTTCCTCCGACTGAATCAAATTCTTGCGTTTGCGCTGCGCACAATTGTTAGTTCGAATTTGGTATTGTGCCATTATGTCATACTGACGATGATGGTGGCAATTATAGTATTCGATCAACAAATCGAAGGCCTTGCTTGGTTTCGTTGGACAGCAATGGGAACAGCATATTGTCGCCGAGCTTGACTCCGCGCTCAATAAGTGGATCGATTCCGTCCCTGATCACCGTGCGCCAATAATCATTTATGTCAATTTCGCATCTGACAACCATCTCTATGGTCATATGCGTGCATATAGTGCGATGGGATCCCAATCAGGAGAACATCATGTTTTTGAACCAGTCTGCGCACTTATATGCCAGCTACTATCAGCTACAAATTTCCGTGCATCGTCCGTTCATCCCTTCCCCGCGCAAGCCATCACCACTTTCGTTCCCATCGCTTGCAATCTGCACGAATGCAGCGCGCTCGTGCACACATGTACTTGATATTCAATATAAGCGCACAAATTCTCCATTGTGTCAGAACCAGGTGTGTCATCTAGGTTGCGATTATGTTCATTTATTTACGGTGCATATTCGTGGAAATTATGTTCAGATGGCGCTATTCACTTGTGGGATTGTACTTTTGTTAAACATTTGGGGCGGCAAGCGATCGGGATTCACTACTGATCCCGCCAAGGAAATGGCTGATGTACACAAGTGTATGAAAATGTTGAAAGTATTAGAACCCCGGTGAGTACATTCCTTATAAGCGGAGGCCAAAGCATGCTCATTACTCATTATCTTCGCAGGTGGCACATTGCTGGTCGTTTATGGTGAGTGCATCACTACAAGCTGTATCAATATCTTTATCCGCTTCTGTCACAGGGATGTATTGTACGAACTAGCCTCAGTTGGTGACCTGCCCTTGCCGCAAAATACGCCCCCTAGCCACAAGCGCGATAGAGATGCTGATAGTCCGAGGTCTGCGACGTCCACTCAATCGATACCCTCCACCCCCGCTGCAGCCTCGGACCACACGCACCGTGTTATTGCGGGGTCAAGGCGTGTGTCAAAGGATGTACCGGCTACGGGATTGTTCGGACACCATATGCACCCAGCAGCGATGTCGAGCCCGGAGACATATACCGCGGATGCTCTAAGCGCAGGTAATTTTGATCTCCCTATCCATAGCGACGAGCTTGGTAGGCTGCCGCTGCACCCTGGGTATCCCATTGGTCATACACCCTCTGAATCATCGATGGGCAGTGGTAGCTGGTTCGCGTCACCTGCACCCTCGGGCTCAGTTTCCACTATGCCTGTCACACCTCAAGCGGGACCTTCGACTGCTGGGCTGGACCCGGGCCTCGCGTCGATGTTTGCGATGCATAATCCGGGAGTGTACGACTCGATCTTTTCAACGATGCCGTCCCCGCCAGATGTGCATGCCTATCAAGCCCCACCGGTGGGGTCGCATATGCAGCAGCCGCAACCCATGCACGATCCATTGGCTTCGCTGACAGGTGTGCAAGGTGGCCAAGGGTCATTTACAGACAACACGCTGGCGATGTGGTCGAATGCTCCCAGTAACTTTGAGTGAATTGTCATCTCTCTCCGATGTATCGTAATCCTGACATATTCGATGACAGATGGGACGACTGGGGTACGTACATTAGTAGCGTCGGTGGCATGAATGGGATGAACAATCCGATGGGCTCGTCGAGACCCGCAGGATGATGATTGTAATTGTGTTCGTGATTGAAGCACCCTATCGACAGCATAGATACCAAAACTTACTCTACATCTGCTATTCGCTATCCGATATACACCACTCCATCTGTAGCCCTACCTAATGTCGAAGTCCGTTTATGATGTACATACTCAAGCCGCCTCGTCGCTGTCTTATGCCGTTTTAAACTGTTCATTGAGCGGGAACAGGATCGACGTCTTTCAACCTCAAGAGAGGACGTACCTGGTCAGTAAAACCCTGACAGTATCATTGGTGTCATTCGAGGCTGGAAACCACGTGTCTATTATCTGTGGCAAGCACCGTTTTTGATGGGCGCGTCGGACGACAACTTCGGGCGATCGTCACGAGTCTCAACTACAGGGCCGCTCAGGTGCATAATCAGTGCACAGCAGACTCCCCTTGCTACTCGTAAGAAGGATATATTAAGTATGTGAAGAGCTGTGGCACATACATATGCAATCAGGTATCTCGGCACTAAAGGGAGAAGATTTTCCAACCAAGATCCCGTATATCCAGACAGAGTTTGCTGGTTCATGCCCTGACGTCGTGCCATTGCGCCCAGCTTCTTCATACTGCAGCTCACTGTCTGCTGAAAAAAGTTCAAGTATCAGTACACAGTGTATGTTCAAGGCAATGTATTTTGCTTGAAACAGTGCTGATGCGGCTGACCTCTAATATAGTCAGAATCAATATCTAAACCAGGGACCATATTCGACTCATTCGAAAAATTCAACGGTCTTTGCTGGCTACAATTTTTTGTTGCACTTTCCAAGATCACACGCACTTAAACGAGAAGAGTCATCAGTGTTTGCATTGTGCGAATTTTGAGGAATGAAGTCTATCGTTTGAGCGATGCGTCGTTTAAGACGATGGTCGAAGTGACTTCGGCGTGCCCCGTGCCACTTAGAAGAGGTTGATACTGATAAGCAAATAGCTGAAGAGCCACTTGATACTCTTCTGCACCATATTCTCTTTGGCACTCTCGCGCATGAGGAGAAGTCGGAAAATTGCTGAACTAGAGGTGAAAGATGATGAGATGATTGGAGAGGCTTGAATTCCGAGGTGGATGGTTCAAAAGACGGCGAGCGCGCGCACATTACTTGACCGACGTTGCTAAGTAGATTTGTTCAGAATTATTTCTGGTTCGAATCGCCGAGAATGCAGTCGCCGAAATAGAGCTTGGAGTGTGTGTTTCGCATTGAATTTAAGAATTTGATAAGTATGTAAGTTCGAATGGTAGGCAGGCTGTGTAAAACCACCCGAGGGCCTCGATAGAAGGGTGATATAATATGTAGAACATAACAGCCAGAATGATCTTGTTAAGTGTCCACGAGCTCACCAGATTCCGGAGTCTGGTATTCCTCCTGGTAGACTTGCTCCAACCACATGCTTTGGTACAGCCCGCCGGCACGTAGTAGTTCATCATGAGTACCCTGCTCCACTACTTCACCATCCTTGAGGACGATGATGAGATCTTTCACGCAAATGTGAGTGTGACAGATGAGGAAAATATGCAGAACATACCCGCTTCGACGACAGTGCGAAGGCGATGCGCAATGAAGATACTTGTTCTGCGCTTCTCTGTCAGTAATGAGTTAATATTTCGCATCAGCTCCGCCTCAGAGTGAGCATCCAGAGCGGATGTCTGCATAATGATCAGCCCAAGAGGATTTCACCGCAAAACCATTATACTCACAGCTTCGTCGAAGAACAGTATTGGTGGATCCTTTAACAACACGCGCGCCACTGCCAATCGCTGTTTCTCACCCCCAGAGATCATCAAACCTCGCTCCCCCACCTTCGTCTTGTACCCATCTGGCAGACGCATGATTGCGTCGTGCACATGCGCCTTCCGAGCAGCCTCAAAGACCTCTTCGTCCGACGCATCTAAACGACCATATCGCACATTCTGAAGCACGTCCGAGTGGAATAGGGGTGTATCCTGCGGAACAACACCAATCGCCGCGCGGAGCGACGTAAGCTGCAGGTCCTTTACATCTTGTCCGTCGACAAGGATCCGCCCGCTGCTCGGCTCATAGAAGCGGAAGAGCAACCGGAAGACGGTCGACTTACCGCATCCGGATGGGCCGACGAGCGCGACTTTCTTGCCCGCAGGGATCGCGAAGGAGAGATCCCGGAAGATGGGGCGATCGGGATGGTATCCAAAGCTCACGTTCTTGAACTGGATCGAGCCGCCTTGAAGCTGGAGCGGTTGCGCGTCGGGCTTGTCCTTGGAAAAGGATGAATGAGAACTCAGACCTAGTATGAGCATAGGCGCACCTTGGGTGGCTGGTTCTCAGTCACCAAATTGAACAGGACTTCCATGTCAAGCAGGCTCTGCCGCATCTCCCGATAGATTGTGCCCAGGAAGTTCAGTGGAAGAGATAACTGAAACACTAGCTGATTGGCCATGACAAGGTCACCTACCGTCATTGTACCTACACTTTTATAAGTAGATGGCTTCAAGATAGAAATGGTTTTTTGACATACCATTGATGACACCTTGGGCCGCAAGGAACATCATGGCGGTCAGCGCCGTAGAGAAAATCACATTCTGCCCTGAATTAAGATATGCCAGAGACGTAGCAATCTTGACAGAGGCCTTCTCGTAGGCTGACAAATGCTGGTCATACTGCTTGATTTCGTACTTCTCGTTGTTGAAGTGCTGTCAAGAGCCCTCAGAATTAAACATGGAAGATCCAAAAGAAAATGACTGCACCTTGACAGCCTCGTAGTTGATTAGTGAGTCCACAGCAACTGTGGCGGCCTTGTTATCTGCAACATTTGCTTCTCGGCGGAAACGCGTCCTGCAAGTACGTGTCAAGCCATGCCACATGTCCTACCACGGCACGTACCGCCATGATGTTGTCCGCACGGTGAACCATGTGTAAGCAGCCATGGTCACAACAGTGATGGCAGCAAAATCCCACCCAAACTTGTATGACTATGCAAGCATATCAATAAGGTCTAATGGCCTGTTCGAAATGACGATTGACTTGCCAGAATGCCGCAGACAAGGGAAATCTCTAGAGCCGTAGGCACAATTCGGAAGATGATTGCCTGCAAGATGAAAGTGATACCCCTACAAACATATTAGCGAGACGCTTCGATGAAGTGAAACAACATACTTAGTACCGCGGTCGATAGCTCTTGTAAGACCACCCGTTTGGCGAGAAAGGTGAAATTTGACGTCCAGGTTGAGAAGATGCTCAAACGTTTGACGAGCAACCTTGCGGACCGCTCGCTGACCGACGTTCGCGAAGACTGCGTTTAACAGTTCCCCAGACAGCGTGGCCCCAATACGTGCAGCTCCATCTATGGGCTCATAGGGTGTTCAAACGTGTGTCAATCTCGAGAATGAAGCGCACTTTGACGTACAACCCAATACGAGCGACCCGGCTACTACCCACACTGTTGATCCCGCCGTGATATCCAAGTTGAGCGAGTCAATGATCTCCTTAAATAGCAAAGGAACTTGTACATTAAGCAGCTGCAAGAACAATCAGTGCTCACATATACCACTACTTGCCTGGATTATACCTTTCCTGCTATTAACAATCCGAAGCCAAAAAGCACCCGCCTTCGCGTTGACCAGTCGTTCCGTGGCCAGATATTCTCGGCAAGTCTTTTTATGATGTTCCAGTCCTTCTTCCTTTGCTCTGAGAGACTTATGTTCACTGCCTCTTGTCCCAAGTTTGACACTGGAGTAGGTGGCGATGGAGTCGCCTTTATAGGCGGAATCGTTGGTGCCTTTGGCGGTTGCGAATTCGATGCGAGATTCTGAAGCATACGGCGCGCTATATAACTGCATGCCTGGCCCCTTGGAATGCTGCACGCAACATTTCTGGGCCGTACTGCCGAGGATAGTCTGCATGGCACAAGGAAACTAGCAGGTGGCCGGGCACGTATCAGTGGTCGAATCAGACAGTCCATGGTCGTCCAGAAAGACAAGCGGAGCGAAGCCTCATGAAGTGGTAGGGGTCGAATACATGAGACGAGTGATTTATGTGACCTTACCCGCGAGGATTGCGTGGTGAGGATTGCGTGCGCAATAATATCCGCGAGTCAACGCTGCACCCTGGGCCAATGTCGGCCGTCCAGTCACTAATTCATCTTATCAGATAAGATGGCAGACCGGGTACAAGTGCTCCCACGGGGAGACCGTCAATCTCAGGCTAGCGGGGGAAGAGCACCGAGTGACTTTGTGTCATTTGAACTTGCAAATGATCAACTCATCCATTGAAAAACGCGATAAATTTCATAAGTCACGCCAAGTCAAAACTATTTGGAATTATAGAGAATACGAGGGCAGCATCCAGTCCGTAGTACTAATTCTTGCAGATGGTGTTGGCCTTCCCTGAAGTAGTATCGGTAATCTCTGAAACATCACGGAATATTTCGATATTATGCTGGTTTGACGTAATTGTCAACGTCAAGGTAGAGCTGATGAAGATCATGCGTACCGGCCTCGACGATACGTGGCTCATATGAAGCCCGACACCGGCAATGGTAGAAGAGTGCTGTAGTCCAGCTTTCATGTGTTGTCGTGCGTTTAGCCTGAAAAGGGCTTCGAGTTAACAATCTAAGTAGCTCGAGATAAATACCGCACATAGCAATCAGCGAATTGGCATAAACTTTCGCAGCGTGTCAGTGAATAAAACGGACCAATCTGAATAATGCGTACGTTTGCTTTGAATATCATCCAGTCCAGCAAAGAGCAGACTGTTTTTCAAGGCTGGTGCCCAAAACTAGATACAGCATGGGTAAAGGAGGGAGGTACACAATCTCAATGAGGGCTCATACCGTTGCAATGATCGCTATCGAAACACACCTTCGGTGCTGTGAGTCAACATATTGTGAACAAGCAGACTCGGACTCGACTTACGTCGTCAAAGCGCCAGTGTTAATTATGTAGGCCATCAAATTTCGAATCAAATTATCTGTTCTAATAAGTAGAGGAGGTAGTTCAGGAGCCAGTCCAAAACAATACGCAATAACTGCTCACGCCTGGTAGCCTGTACGGCTAGTCCAGAGATAGTAAATCTGGCTGAGAGCGATGAATGCGTCCAGAACTCCTGAAAAGCCAATGAAACATGTAGCCACAATCTGCCACGAGGATGAGACACCTGTCAATTATTATTGTTATATCACTGTTCAACTATACGGCACACCATCGCTCCGTTGAATATTCTGAACTCATTCCAGGTATCGAGTTTCCACCTAATGGCAATCAAGCCAAACGTTAAAGAAAATGGTTTGAAAATGGAATGGTAGGTGACGTACATGAAGCTCGCTGTTGCTAGAACAGAGATTATAATAGAAATCAGAACATGATGCATGATGGAGGCTATGATTATACTCCTACCCAACCCGAACGCTGAAATAAGATGTATTGAATTCGCCGCCAAGACAGCAATAGTTGCACATACCGATGCGCATGAAGAGCAAGATTGTCTTTGCGATCCTCGAGTTCAAAAAGGCTACATTTTGAGAAAACGACTCACCAGTATGGAGATCAGCGTCACAGACCTTCTACTCACTGCGAATACATTTTAGCACAATCACTATATATGAGCGTGTGCGGGTACGCACATATCCAGGTTCGCCAGATCAGAAAGCTAAGCGGATAAATTTTGAGACGTTGCCAGGGAACGCATAAAAGTCCCACCTCTGAACCAAACCTACAATAAGGACCTGCACTCGAAGCCAATCATTGAGTATACAATGGAACCGATCATATGATAGTAAGCTCACTTCTGCGAGTACTTTAGCCTGCACGCCGAACATGCGTTACTATTGCGAAACTATGGGCGGTCATCAAATGTCTGAACATACCCCAGCACTCCTGAAGCGAAAGTCAACTGTGTATTCAGGGAACCAGAAGACAAAAACTGGGCTTACCAAGCAATCTGAAGGACGCCTTCAAGGTTCCCAAAATCGATGATCGTGTAGTGATAATTTATGTCTATGCAGAACACCGTGTGTGCGGTCTCCAAACACCTTTAAAATAACATAGTATAGTAGAGAAAATGTTTTGTGGCTAAAGCCAGGGATCTTACCATACGGATGCGATTAAGAAACGAAGCAATTTCGAGTCCTCCTGTGATGCCCACCAATAAAAGTATACTTGTGCAGTAACAATCCCATACAGGCTTGGGATAAAGGTATCGTGAGTAGGCCGGGATATGTAGAAGGGAGGGAGTAGGAACGTACAGGATAGCAATATCTATGCTGGCTGTAAATGGGCCCATGAGCTCTTCGATAGATGGTGGGGTGATGGCGGGCATCTTGGATCCAGAATGACTTCGCGAAAGCAAGATGTGGTACTCAAAAGTAAGACTCAAAAAACCTCAGTGAGTAAGGCTTAGCGCAACGAGTCTTTTCCAGTCAATTCTCCTCCATCTCCCTCTTTTAGATGGACTGAAGGCTGAGGAACTGTATTCAATCCCGTTAAGTAACAACAGTTGCCATCCTGATTTGACATAGCTAGAGATGAAAGATATATTCGTAGTCTTGATCGAAGCACGAAATGTGACAGCTGACTGGGATGAGTATCAGAATATCATGATATCGATACAGTATGCACCCCCGCAAAGTTGGTGCTGTCAGTGACTTGAAAGCCTTCATTACTTCAGGATTAGTTGAATATTGAGGACGCACTAGTGACATCCAAAACATATGCTAAAGCTAGAGTGGCAAGGAATCAGAGAATGAATATGCCGACACGGGGTATGAGATCGCGGAGTGGAAGTGTCTTCCTTTCACTCGTGGTATTAGCATCTGCAAGTATGCAATTAGCAAGCTGGGGCACCTCGGGCGATCTACTCGCTCATTGGCTCGGAGAACACCGTTGAGTGGGTTTAAGATTGGATCCTTTCGAAAAACACCCATTCGGCGGCATTCTCCTCTCCGATGCACCATCGAGCAAGGGTCGATACTATGTTGTCGTGTTTATCTTTTTCCGTGGAAGCTGATTCTGCGTCCACCTATCCGGCCTTGCCCCCATCACCGTCATCGGTCAGTGCCTTAGTTGACTATTTGAGCGGTCATACTCTGCCCGAGTTAGCACCTTCAAGTTTGACACACCATTTGAATGTGGCGACAGGAGTAAATAAGTCGTTCTGTGAGATTGGATGCCGTTTCGCTGATGCAAATGGTATCGGTTTGATCTGCTGACGCACCTGATTCTAGTGCTGCCGTGAGGCAAGACGGTGAAGCTGGATGTCGGAGTTTGCTGCTCAATGTAACTTGAGGTGACATCAACATCTCAGCGAAATGGCGGGCCCACACGATGGGCAATTGACGAAGTTCGGCGGTCGAGCATGCGTCGGAAGCTGGCCGCGAGAGATCACAGTTCCCTGCAATGCATATGCTCGAGGCACGATCACTCGGTCGGATTGTACATGCGGAGAACATGGAAAGTGGACCAATCAGAGGCTACCGTGATCGAATGTGATGTCTAATGCTTCAGCTCATGAAATTTAAAATCGAGTGAAAATGAGATCTCTTTCGGTACATGTTCGGCGCATGCTTGACGGCTGGACCCGGCAGTCGGCAGTATCCGTTCCACACTATCTAATTCTGCCCGGTTCGATATGAAATGCACCTGGATTTCAGGTCCTGAGATCCAGGTGCATCATGGTCTGCTGAATGGCCTAACCGAGTTGATCTGCTCACAATCTCGTCAAGAATGGCTTTCACACTGGTAAATGCCATCAATTTATGCCCTCTCAGCATATTTGCTCACTGAAAAAGCACACCAAGTCACTGGCTGGGGTCACCAGCACAGGCTTTTGTCACCTTGGGTCTGCTCAGATCCCAGGTGAAGTTTTGAACATGGCCGTTTTGCTGAAGTTACCAGGAGCAAAGAAGCATGTTGGTCTGGGTCTGGATATGCATGATATCCAGAGGCTTCTCAGTTTTCTCATACCAGTGTCATGGGAAGAAGCTGCTGCATGGCATCTGAATGTAACTTGTGTGCCTCAAGTGATATTGGACTGTGACTCCATCATAATTGTCAAAGTTCAGCCAGGCTTTGGACAATACATGACACATTGGTGCAGCATCCTCCTAAGTCAACAGCTCAGCCCCCATGTTCTTTCATCACCACATGTGTTTCATCTTCTACCGGAACTAAGAATTCATGGGCAGAATCTGTACTGGCATGGCATCTTGATATTTCGAACCATGTACCTCTTATTAGCCTCCTTCACTATTCTTGCAGCTTATGTGCTTGATGTTCTATCCATACTCAAACTGAACTTCAAGCCCATAGCTGCCCCAGAGCCTGAATCTTCTCCACACACACAGACCAACCATGTGCGGCACATGAAGCTTGAAGGACAGCTTCTTGAGTCACATGCACATATGGGTTATTGGTTACTCAGCTGCTGAACAGGCCATCTTGATCCATGAGCTGCTCTTCCTTTGTTGTGGTCAAAAGTAACCAAACGAAAAACTGCAGCGTCCTTTAGGCATGAGCACTAGCAACAAGCCAGCCTCTAGGCTTGCTTGAATGATAGTGTTGGAATGCAGCGCGCGAAGTGGTTCGATATCGTCTTAATTGCCCTCTGGGTCTTTGTTCAGCTTTTCTTCTCTCATCGTCGTGGCTATCCCTTATTTTGTTGTTGTTGTTGTTGTTTGTATACAACAGCTGCTATACCATCTGTCGTCGAACGATTGTGATGTACATTTGGAAACCAGGGCCAGCCATTACCAATTTATTGCACGATTAAATCGGACTACATTCTACTGGGGTGATTGGCCGATGAAGGGACTATAACAGCGCGGAATCTGGAGGTTCCACGGGATTCATATGCATCGCAAGTGTCCCAGAACGCAAATTTCCTGATTATCGGCTTAATACCGTGCATTGTAGCGAATTTCACCGCGTCCTCGCAGTCCTTACCCGTACCATACGGCCATCCTCGGACACTCAATCGCCGAGATAGCATGGGGACTGCATGCGACAGAATAAGCTTATGAGGATGAGACTCGTCGTCTACACTTACCGACAGGAATTGGAAGCGTGTCTGCGATGAACGAGAGAACGAGGAGCTGGCCATCGCAGGCGAGCCCGTTGACAAGGGTGGTCATGGCCCCGATATCTGGTCCAGTACACAGGATGATTCGCGCGCCTCCGAGCGCTCTGAGTACTGCCATCTGTGCTTCTGCAGTTCCGCTGATGAACTCATGTGCTCCTAGCTCCAGTGCCGACTCTCGTTTGTCAGCTGAAGAAGAAAGCGCGATGGTGTGAAAGCCCATCTGGCGTGCTATCTGGATGGCGATGTGGCCCACACCGCTGAAAAGGCGAACAATGCTGCTGGCTCAGCTTGCGTGAAGAGACAGGAACGGTGAACATACCCAACACCCTGAATGGCGACAAGATCTGAAGGTGAGGCTTGCATGTTACGGAGAGCATCTTATGCATTGCGTGAAAAGTGGATTCAATATCACAGAGAGAGAGCCAGATATCAAAGCAAGCTGGAACGCACTGAAAGACGTTACTCCTGCGCACAAGAACGGGGCGGCCTCTGCCGGATCTATTTCCCTCGAAATGCTCGCCAACGCCTCTGAACGCAGAGTGGCGTACTCTGCATAACCGCCGTCGCTCCCCACACCTATGACAGATTGAAGATCGTGGTGAGGATGCAGCAAAACCAAATGTCGCCTATAACGTACCCGTAGGGGATAGCGATGAAAGGGGGCAGGTAACAAAGTCGCCCAAACGGCAACGATCGCAGACACTACAATGGCCTACATGCCAGCCTGCCCCAATCCTGTCACCTAGCTTCCACCGCACCTCGCCCGGTGCAATAGCTACGACGTCGCCGATGATCTCGTGCCCTGGGATGCGCGGATACACGACACTAGAGAAAAGCTGATATTTCACTACTTCATCGCTAGAATGTAGTCAAGTCGTCAGGCTAACAAACGCGTTGTATTCGAGTGGCCTTGGCTAACCTGGCGCAAACACCGCAGGCAAGGACTTTGACAACGACGTGGCCAGGCTGGGGATCCTTCCACGGGACATCTATCGCACAAAGGGATCCTCCGCGCTCGAGGAAGGCGTATGCTCTGTAGGACTTGGGATGCTGGAAAGCCATTTGCTCGTAGATAGCTCTGCATTCCCTATGATCCCTTATAGCCCACTAAGCCCCGGTCTTCGAAATTCTTTGTTCATTCTCAACCTGTTGGTACCTATACTATCACATCTTACTACCTGTTGAGTTCTGGAATTCATTTCGAGTGAAATCTGAGACAGATGATCATGCGGATGCGTGTTCGTTCCATCAGTAGAGCATTGAACTGAGCAAGAGCGTAGCTTCACTTGAGATGAGTTCCTGGCGCGATTATTACGGGGCCGATCGCACGCATGTACAGTGATAATATGGTTCGAATGAGTCAGTTGAAGTTATCAGCTTCTGCAGGTATCAAGCTCGGGTACGGCA